GTTGGTGTGTCAGCTCAGGTCCTCCCTCTTTAAAGATTTCAGCAGGGATCCCGTCTGGTCCACTGGCTTTGTAATTTTTCTGTTGGCTGATGGCATTGCTGACTTCTTCCAAACTGGGCAGTGCTGCAAGCTCATCCCTGGTTTGTTGTTGTGGGATTTGTGAGAGGACCTCTTCGGCCACATTGGAGCTGCGGTTCAGGAGGCTTTGGTAGTGTTCTTTCCAACGTAGTGCAATTGAGTTTTGGTCCTTCAGGAGTTTGGATCCATCTGATGAGCGTAGAGGCTGTATGCCATGGTTTCTTGGTCCGTAGATGACCTTTGTGGCCTTGAAAAATCCCTGAGCATTATGGGTATCTGCCAGGTGTTGGATTTCTTCGGCCTTCTTTGTCCACCAGATGTTCTTGAGTTCTCTTGGACCTTTGGACCTCAGCTTTTGCACTGGCATAGATCTTTTTCTTAGCTGCACAGTTGATGTCTCTCTGCCATGCTTGGAAGGCTTTCCTTTTCTTGTCAATTAGCTGTTGGATCTCGATGTCATTTTCATCAAACCAGTCTTGATGTTTCTTGGCTTGGTATCCAATAGTTTCTTCGCAGGCTTGGATGATGGAGGTCTTCAGTTTGTTCCAATGTTCCTCAACATTTTCGGGGTGTACTGTGGGTAGATGGTCCTTGAGTGCTGTTTGGAGATGGGCTTGTCTGGAGGGCTTCTGAAGGGCTTGGGTGTTCATTTTGCGCCTTGTCTTCCTTCCTTGGAGTCTGCGCTTGGGAAGGATCTTGATAGCCATCGAGGATCGAATTAGCCTGTGGTCAGTCCAGCAGTCGTCAGCACCTGTCATGGCTCTTGTGAGGAGCACGTCACGGCGGTCTCTGGCACGTGTGATTACATAGTCTAAGAGGTGCCAATGCTTTGACCGGGGGTGCTTCCATGATGTCTTGAACTTGTTTTTCTGGCGGAAGAGCGTGTTGGTGATGACAAGGTTGTGCTCCGCACATTTGGTGAGAAGCAGGATGCCATTTGAGTTGCTGTTTCCAACCCCGTCTTTTCCTATGGTCCCTGGCCACAGGTCGAAGTCTCGGCCGACTCTTGCCGTGAAGTCCCCCAGGAGGATGATTTTGTCCTCCTTAGGTATCCCCGATAGGACGGTGTCCAGCTGACAGTAGNCTTGCATTGAAGTCCCCCAGGAGGATGATTTTGTCCTCCTTAGGTATCCCCGATAAGACAGTGTCCAGCTGATAGTAGAATTTATATATATGTATGTGTGTGTGAATGTGTGTATGCAAATCGATTCTTGCAGATTAGTATACTAGTATATCAATATTACCACAACTCCATTTAACATGATGTCTAAAGACATCTTAATCAGAAATACATACATTCGTGTGCACGATGAAAAGGGGAAAAAGGAAAGTGGCCATGCAGCCATCTATGGTGCAAATGGGAGTTTTTCAAAAGGAAGCTCATATCAAGGTGAATTCCCCAGGGGACACATGTGGCTATGTAAGACAAATTCACTACAATTTGTCTGTGGTGTTAACAAGGCAAACACATGGTTTATGCAAACCAGAAAAATACAGTGAGAATAAGGTGCAGACAGGGTTTTTTTTCAGGTGTAGACAGGCCAAGGGACAATTTCTGTTGATTCACGGCAAAAACTGGCTCTCTCCTAACATCACAGAAACCTTCCACTTTCTGATCAAAACAGTATCCAGCAAAGAAAGGAGAGTTTTGACTGCTCAGAATTGAAGGTCTCGTGATATACATGCAGTACCTCATGAATGTTGCTCAAAATGTTAACTCCAATTTTAAAAATGTAATCAATTTCAGTAACTGAATAATGTTATAAATTTTATTTTAACAAGATTTTTCAGAGATTCACTAAGGATCTAGGTGCTTCTTTGCTTTACAAACTTAATATTGCTATTTTACAGAGTTATCCTAAAGACAGATGAAAATATGTGAGCGTTCAACACTCAAAAATTAATTCCAGAATGCATTTATTTCAATAGCAGAAACAACTTTTGTGCACAATATTGAATATTTGATGCTGTAATTTGATTTTCTACATTAACAAGTGACATCAAAAGACATGGAGTGCTTGGTATGAAAATATTTACAACATGAATGAGTATTGTTGGGGATTTGGGGACCACATTCGCCTTCCAAGGTGACTTTAAAGGGCCGCCTCCCTTGAAAAGTATTTTTATTTCCAGGCTACTTCTTATTGAAATAAATGCTTCTCCTGGACCTAAAATGGTCTAGAGAGAATGAAATTTGTGGTAAAATTGCTATCCACAATCCATAAGGGTCATTAGGGGGCTTTTCCCCAGCCTTGGTTGACAACATTAGAACAGTGAGAACCAATTTTATACAAATAAGATCAATAAACGTAAGTCAGCTTTTATTCTTACCTGCTTTGTGAAAAGGGTAGTAGTCTACAGTTAACTGACTAAAGGATAATTGCATAGCACCTCCCGAAATTCGCCTATTTGCATCTGTAAAACAATATAGGGTTCATCAGTATATACATATTGAAAACAAGTGGCCCAGTGAGGATGTTCTTTTGGTTGATAACACTATGCAACACAATTTTTGTTCCTGGATTATAAATCTTATTTCCTAATTGGTTTCATCATCAAAACATGGAAAATGTGTATTAAACTGCAAAAACTTTGGTGTGGTCTGCACACTGAAAGGTTCAAAATGGCATATTTTCATTAAGGAAAATTGCAAACAAAGTGCCTAGACTGAAGAAAATAACAGTACTACCTCAGCCACAAAAACAAAGTTTCTGGAGTATAACAACTACTTTGAAAATAAGTACCACACACTCAAACAGGAAATAACACTTTCAAACCAGGAACAGAAAAAAAAATGCAAATTTTGATACACAGTATAATTTTAAGACCATGAATTCCTCTTTGCTGAAGCTCTCAAGCTGATGTCATATAATACTTTTATGAAAGTATCGGTCAACTGAAGGTTCATTTCCCTGTGCTAACTTGTATTGGGAAGTTCTCTTTGTTTTTTTCCACAGTCATAACTTTCTTTTTAAAGTGCATACAGAAAATTTAAATGGAGATTTTTTTTCCCCCATTCTCAGAGCAAAACCCCGCAGCATATACATATTTATAACTGGGTAAGTACAAAGTGACATAGGAGAAATGGATACTGAAATGGCTGTTTGGAACCTTCAATTTACCTGAAGCAATACTAATATAGTAGACAACCAAAATCTTCCTCTCATTCAAAAAAATCTATTGGTCTGTGTATACAAATAGAGGGGAAGATCTATTTGCAACACAGAGAACAGTGTAATTTGTTAAAAACACTGTTATTAATAAATTTGGACTCAAAAAGTGTATTGCACAAGGACTAGTAAAATATAGCAAAACAAATTCCAGAGCACTCTCAATAAAATGAAGAGAGCAACAGAGCTCTTACCCTTTTCCTTGGAGTGAATATCATCACATATATGCAGATCCAAATGTGAAACTGCTAGATGGTAAGAGGTTTCCTTAACATCAAAATCATTGAATAGTTTCACAATTGCATCATTTTGATCAGTAGCTGCAGAAGACTGTTGTGTTTTCACCTGTTGAGAGCTGGATGCAGGAGTGGAATTCTGGAAACATTCAAATATAAAAGTTTGCCTTGGCATGAACATCAACAATTAACATCTCAAAGTTAAAATAATTTCAACAAATTCTCAAGATTTGCATGTAAAGGAAAATCTGAAATGTAGCATCTTGAATATGGCTTTTAACTGTCAAATTTGAAATACTGTATTACTTGGTATTCAAACTAGTTGCTGCATGCAAATACTGTGGAGTGCAGAACAAGCAGACTCCTCCTTGGGCACCAAGGGATTTTAACACTCTAGTAGCTATTTTAAAAATAACATGTTTTGTTTGGCCTATTTTTTTAGAGATCCAGCCTGATGCAGTAGTTTGATTGTTATCTGTGAGCCCAGGGTTTAAGCCCTTGTTTGGCCAGGGAAACGAACTGGATGACCCTGGGCAAGTCATATTCTCTCATCATCAGCTTTAAGGATTCAATAAGTGAGAAATGACTTCATGTCCTGGTTAATATTGGAGGGGGAGTGCCAAGGAATACAGGTGCTGTAGGCTGTATAAGGAGTTTCGCCCCCTTCATGAGGTGCACTGGTGGGCTAGACTTCACACTTTATGCCAATCAAATATGTTAGTATTTAAGGTGCTCCAAGATTTTTTGTTTTTGATACAAAAGAATATCATGATAATTTCCATAATATTGAAATTTAAAAAGCAGTGCTCAAGTGTTTCTAGTGTGAAAAGTCGTTCTTTGAATATTGTGACAGATTCTTAAAAATAAGTCAAGAGTACTATAGAAACACATAGAGTGTTTTTCTAGTGCTATCAACAGATTCAAATATATTTAGTTTGGTATCATTCTACATGTATTTAATGAAATGTAGACTTTATTGCATCCAAGGAGCTTTACATTTCTAAAGCCAAAATATTGTGGATATCTTAGGTGTGCATTTTTTTTGTATCCAACACATGTTAAATATCTACATTGATAATTCACACTGAGGTCAACATGACACATTGCTTATTATGTTGTCTGTTTCATGCACTGATGGCATAACAGTTGGTTCTTTTGACATATAACACAATAGCTATACAACAACATGAACTGAAATAGAAATACTATAAGCCCTATGGAAGCTTTCAGTTTGTATTTCTTTTGTTTATTAATTTGGTTTATGCCCTGCCATAAACTAATACATATTAAAATTCAAGTTAAACTACCATATTAGTAAAACACAAGCCAAATTAAATAGTTGAAAACTCTTCAATAATAGTACTGCACATAAAATTAAAACATTAATAAGTATGGTATGTCCATTTAAAACCCTACACATATTATATAGTTGCTGGTGTGTTAGCTGAAAAAAAATGGATACAGGCCAAAAAACAACGGGGGACTATCCTGCCATGCAAGGTACATCATCTGGGTGTAGCTAGTGAGAAGACCCTGTTTTGTGTTCTTATGTGCTGGCTACTGAAGAGGTGAGTTGAAGAATAATGCTCTTCCTGCATGTCTCAAAGCCTATCTTTCAGATAGATTTGGTCCAAGACATATAGGACTTTATAAATCATATTATGAAGGTAATGTTATCAGTTACACTATTTGGATATAATTGCAGAAGCAACCTTGTGAAGAACTGGCATATACAAGATTTTTAAACTAGTGGCGCAAGATTTACATTATTAGCTCACTATGCAAATACAGACATGCCTTACTTCCTCTTGATAAAATCTGTTTCCACAAATAATCCACGAGGATAAGCTTACCTGTGTGGGTTCAGAAGCTAGACTTTTCCTCTGTTCAGCTGATTTTTCTATTGCTTCACTAAGAGATTTAGCATACTGTACCATAGCTTTCAGTTGGGAATCAGTCAAAACCCAGAGCAAGTCATCCAGTATTAGAATCAGCTTGGATGCCACTACATTGCAATCCTTTAACTGTTGGTAGAAGGATAAATTGATTTTGAATACTGATAGCAATACAGATTTTGAGGATTAGAGAGAAGAGTTGTTTTTTTAAGGTTGAAAAGCAAAACTTTGTAATAGTGATTACCAAATGGGACAGTGCTGCTAATAATGCTAACAAACCAGAATAATTATTAAATTATTTCTGCATCTCTGTACCTCTCTGTGAGAGATATATTTTCTCTTTAATGTAGAAAAAGACAGAAATGCATGAATTACATCATTATACATTACACTATTTCTCTGGAAATTTACTATAACAGACAGACACACTATTTATTTGTGCAAAGCAATTTCAGATCAGAAATTAGAGGCAAAGTAGTGCTTCTATTTACTAAATATATTTCCCACCTTTTTAACACAATAAGCTCATGGCAATGGTCAAACAACTAAGTATAAAGCAACTGAATAAATCAGCAGAAGAATAAAAGAATAAAAATAAAAGCCTTTGAATGTCATAAAGACAGAAAATTGAAGGATAGACGCCTCATACTGATGTCAAATAGCCACAGGAAGGAAAACTAAAGGGAGCATTCAGCACTCTCTGAAAATGTAAGTAACAAATCTGTCTATTCCATGCTGAACTTATTAGAACAGAGTCAAATAAATCTGGTAGGTAAGTATTTTTTCCCCAGAATTGTTACATCGCCATCATTAAAGAATATATATATAAATGCCACAAACCGATATTCAGTATTACCCTTCTTTTTAGCGTGACCCTGATTTTGGACTGGTTAGTAATCAGACGAACTGGAGCACTCATGATTTCATGCTGAGAGCTTTGGATTGCATCTGCTTCTATTCTGATCATCTGCCAATTTATTTCTTTAAATGTTAAAACCTAAAATAAAACACACAAATACTTACTTAAACAACACATATCAGAGAAATATAGGAAGGCAAATTCAACTCCTATAGATCTAAGCTGCAACTACACTGGGATTTGTCTTGTTAGCCCACCTACCTTAACAACAAAATGTAACATATATTTACATCTTACCTAAATGAAAAAGAATGATTTTATAAAACAAAGTAAAAAAGTGTAGACTTCAAAAATTGAAATGTTTGCCAATATAATGGCTGAGAAAATTGGGAGGTATCTAATTTTTATACTAGAACTATGCAACTGTGCAATTCAAACTTTACATAGTGTTCACTGCCATGCATTAACTCTTCATGCAACCTTCAAGGAAACTTTCTTTCAAACAGCAATATTAGTCACAGCTCCTTGAGGGCGAAACCTGAATTTAAAAAAATGTTCCAAATGAAGATTTATTCCAAAAGCAAGTCAATTTGTTTTCCTTCACATTATTTTTCAGCAAGGTGTTACCAAGAACTCTTGATAAAATAACTTGAAAACAACTGGAAAATATGATATACATCCAGAAGTGCACGCTCAACCTATAAGATGTTTACATCTCCTTCACAAGGGTTATATCTTTTAATTCACTGACCAGAATCCATAGAAAGTGTGCACCATTCATCTCCAAAGAACCAAAAATAACATGAGTGGCATGCTAATTGTGCTGTTACTACATAAGCAGAAGTCTTCAGAGAGACTAGACAACATGAAAGCAACCTCTGAATCAAGAGCAGCAGTGCTACTTAGGTGTGTACTACATGTGTAAAGGTGGGAATAAATTTAGGTATTGCATGCTACTATTAAAAATATTCTAATATTAATGTTAAGATTTGAGGTAAAACTAGGTAAGTATTATAGACTAATCAAATCCATTCTAGCAGGTCTGTTTCAGCAAAATGTTTTGATATATAAAAATAAACCCTAAGTAACCAAGGTAGAGAACATTTATAGATTTAAAATAAGGCTTACCTCTCCACGTTGGGACTCTTGTAATCGAGTAAATCTTAGGTCACCATGTTCCCAGTTTGCATTTACACTATATATTCTCAGCTGGGAAAGTTCAAATGATGCATTGAAAGCTTTTGCTCCAATTCGGATGATGATTGAGTTTACAGAAACAGATATTCCTTCCACAACTTTTTCAGCAAAACCATATCCACTGGTGAAATGATAATGAGGTATTTTAGCCAGCACTTTAATATATATGTATGCAACATTTAAAAACTACTAAATGTGAAGACAGCAAGGGAAATTCAAAGAAAACTAGTGTTGGACTGGTCTAATATTTATGACTAACAAATCTAACATTTACTAACCCTTATAACCAATAACATAGCATACAGTAAATCTTCATGATGTATAGAACAGATTGAGAATTGCGTCCCAGATAATTTGTCTCCTCCCCCCCTCCCCCCACATTAACATTGGTTTGGAAGCACAACATTTGAAAAAGTAGGTGAGAATTAGCATGACAAGGAAGAAGAACATGTCAAAATGAGAATAATGTACACTGGCACAAAAGAGAAAATGTTATGATCTCAAATCTTATATATTACAGCTTGTATGAACTCAATGTGCTAGTGAACACAATCTCCGAAAAAGCCATATGCTGACAGAGTGTCATAAACACTATCATCAGTGTCAATACACAAACTGTGAACCTACAAAGACCTTTTTGCATGAGCATGACACGGACTATGTGTAGCAAAACTGCTTCTCCATCCAACAGATGGCATTATAAATTGTGCTTACTCTTCTCTTAAGTTCTGCAAGTGTTCTAGTGTTGTGCAACAGAGTTATAGGAAGCTGTTTTTCATCCCAGCCTTTATCTTAATATTTATATTAATATTTATATGTTGTAGATTGTAAGTTTCATTTTTTTAATGTTGACTTTGGGTCTTGGGAAAAATCAAGGTATTTTATAGCATGATGAAAGTTCCATGCTGTTGTCTACACTTGAGTTACTGAAACATATAACATTTTGACATAGTCATATTTAATTGCTACAGTGGTTATTCTGAAAGCTGGACCACAATTATGTAAACAGCTAGCCACTGCTGTGGGCTTTGTGTATAGTCTATTTACATTGAGGTGTCTCCTTGTGATCTGACATATCATGAGTGGATGATGCACAGGTGTGCATCCAGATGTAGCTGGAATTCAACTTCTATAATACTTGAATACTATGATATCAGCTAGGATATCATATAAACAGTCACAAACTTTCCACTCTTGCTACATATAAAGGAAATACATGAATACTAAAGTTACTGGATTTAATGCATGAAATAGCAACTGACCCCCTGTCTACAAATCTATCTTTACTATAAGACATCTTGACCAAATCAGTAGTTTAGGAATAGATCAGTAATGTTTCATAACAGGCTGAGCTATAATGTTCAAGGCATATTCAGCTCCCTTTCCAACTATATATTTGAATACATTCCTCTTATTTTTATTTAAATTTTAGACAGGAACAAACCTTTGCCCTGAGGCAGTTGCTATTGGAGATGGTCCATTAGGGGCACGAGGTTCTTCACATGTACTCATTTCCATTATTACCTTGTCCAGTGACTTAGACATGGAAGAGAATTTTTGAACAAATGAAATGTCTGAATTAACAAGTAATTAAAATGAAATCATATCACAGAATTAAAGCTTATAATAAAAGTACCTGAGAAGAAATAGCAAACATTTACAGGGATGATTTAGTTAGTACTTTAAATACTTTAGGAGCACATCAAATATTATTACTAATCTAATATTTTAAATTAAACCTATTATATGCCAATTTGGATAAAAGGTGGGCTATAAGAGGTATGTGTTTTTGTGTGTACCTTATCTGATTTTAATTAAGCTTGGAAACCCTATGAATCTCAACACCTGGAAAGAAAATTGGACATGATCATCTCCATCATGCCAAATCTGATTAATAATCTTTGTTTAGTCCCATTTTTTTAAGGAATTGGAATATGACCATCTCTCCATAAGGGAAATTTGGCTACTCTCTATGAGGAATAACTGAAAGTCCTCAGCTCAGCAGCAGAATTCTTAGGCCAAGAACCTTTCAGCAGCCCCATCTACTATTATATAAAAGGTTCATACCATAATTTCCTTCTTAAAAAGTATAATGACTAACAATGCAAATATATCTACAGTGGAAATTAAGAGTAAACATCTATTCAGGCATAAGTGAAGCTTGTTACTTCCAAACATTGTAGCACAAAAGTTGTCGATTCGAGACTCATTTACTAGACATTTAATATTCTCATTCTCTCTCTCTCTCTCTCTCTCTCTCTCTCTCTCCATACACACAAACACTTGTTAAGGGAAGTAATATATTGTTCCACGCCTTAATTAAAAGTTACCAGACTACATTCCACAAAAACTGGTATCATGATGAAGGTAAAAAAAGATTGCAAAAGTATGTAATCAAAACAAGATGTCTTCCATAAAAATAATGATTTTACCACAGGTGGCAATCTATTTTTATAGTAATGATAGGCATGCAAATTTGGTGTTTGAAAATCTATACGTAAGAAATGTGAACGCCTTCATTTGCTTAAAGGTGATAGGTGAAATCCAAATTGTTTGGAGCTCAGTTCAGCTGACAAGCAATCAAGCTAATTCTGAGTCACGCTAAAATTTTTAGCAATATGATGTCACTTTCTTCCCTGAAGAGCTGTACCACCAGAAGACTAGATCTGACTCACTCTTCATTATGTCTTTTAATCTCAGATTCTTGCAATGAGCAATCTGAGAGTCAGTATTTATCAAAGGATAGAAGAAATCTAATCTAAAGTCTCGATCCACAATGCAATTTCCTGGAGATATGAAACATGAAATTCTGATATCTTAGTATCAGAAAAAAACCCAGAATAATTAGAATGAGCAAAGAGGAAGTGACCTACTTTTGAATTTCCTAACGCTTTCTCAAATATAATGAAGTCAAGTACTGGTGAGATGTTTCTCACCTAGACAAAGTCCATATTACCAGCCTTTGTACTGACATTTTATTTCTATTTTATGTTTTGGTGGGTTTTGGTTTTAAACTGTTAACATTTTCTCACAGTTAGGTTAATAAGTGCAACTTGTATTAGTTACCACTTGAAAATTCAACCCTTATCAACTGTCTTTCTACCCTTTTTAGTCTCTTATCAACTTCCCAGAGACATTGGATCTGACTGTGCTGGTACATGCCTTGGCTACATCCAATTTGGATTACTGCAACACATTTTATGTGTAGCTGTCCTTCAAAACTGCTCGGAAACTTCAGGTGGCCTAAATAGATGAATCCAGATGGTTAACTGGGCTGCCTACAGGGATTCTCTTGTTATAGCAATTACAGTGGTAGCTAGTATTTTTCCAGACACCATTTAAAGTGCTGGTTTTGTTCTATGAAGCCCTATATGGCTTAGGTCCAAGATATCTGAAGTACTGTATCTCCCTTTATGAACCCATAAGAGCTCCAATATTTTCTGGAGATGTCCCACTACCTTCTCAGGCAACAACAGGGGGTCTTCTTGGTGGATGCTCCAAGACTTTGGAACTCCCTCCCTAGAGAGGGCAAAATGGTTCCAACCTAGTTGACTTACTGCCAGCAAGTCAAAACATTTCATAACTGCCAAGCATTTTTTAGTCTTTAGCCAATAATTTTAATCTATTTTCAAAAATTCAAAACACACTCAGCAGAGTTGGTTTTACATATTTGAAAATAGATAAATTAAATAATCCATCCCCAAAAGTGACTACAAATCAACTTCTAATGACAGAAAACCAGAGTTCAGTGGGTTTATGTTAAAAATGTAGCCAGCTTCTGAAACCTGGGAGATTTTTGAAAAGTTACATCACCTCTTTTTGGCTCAAATGGGATGGTTTGAAGGTGTCAAGGGATGCAGAATACTGAGAGCTCTAAAGTCATCATATATTATCATTGTTTTTTAGTTCTTTTGCCATGCTTTTAAGCATGAACTATAATATAAAAATATTATTCCCTTCTATATTACCTCTTAACTGTTTTCTACTTGGCTGCCCCACAGATTTGCAAGTTATACACATGAAGCATACAGTAGTTAGTTTGAGGACCTAAATTCCAAACTTACCAAACATATTGGATGTGTTTTCAATTTTGTCCATGGTATCTATAAAGGAAAAGTATGAAATCATGATAGAAAATATTTGAGGCATTTATTTTTCAATTCTAGTTACAAATTGAAATATTTGAGAAATTTGGGAAACTTAAACATAAGGAAGTGGGAGAAATATGATCCTAGGGAAATTCATGCAGAGAGACAAGTGTGTATACTGGGAGTGGAAAATTCACATTATCTATTTTCTGAAGCATTTTACTGTAATTGTATATGCTATCTGCCATTATTCAGAGACCTATGAACTCAATATACTGCTCTGCATCTGTAAGTGTTTAAACAGGTATGATCTTCCAAAACTAACTGATTATCTCCTTTTTAGACTACAGCCCCAGACCTATTCTAGCTGGATGTCACTCAGCAATCTCTAAGAAGGAAACAAGTATAAAGCCGACTCCACAAGGCCAGGGAGGAGTTGTTTTAATGTGTTATATGTCATGTTTGTAGAAACTCAGTTCACTGGGTTGATATTGATCACTCTGGGACTGTTACACCAGTTGGTGGTGAGAGAGCCAACTGAAGGACTGAGCAATAGTGAGAGGGCTACACAGAACCACCTAGTTGGCAAAAGGTAGTCCCCTGGTGGGAGTAGAGTGCTGCTGGGCTCGCTAGCTAATTGGCCTGATTGACTGGGAATATACCTATTAACTGAGTGTTAAATGTTGTTGTATTAATGTCTTATAAATTGTCTTTTTTGCTTTTGGTTGTTGGTTTGTCCCTGTATTGTTGTTTTCAATGTATACGGAAACTGGGGTGACAATAAAAGTTGTGCAGGGCAGAGGGAGATATGGTGATGGTAGGGTCACATGTCCTTATAGAGGACAGAAAGAAAGGTGTTTAACACCTTATCTCACCTTCCAGTCACCCTGCCACCTTGGGGAACTTGGAGAGTGAGCCAGACAACCCGCCAAACCTCACCTTGCTCCTCAATAATGACAGATCAGTAAAGAATAAGACACATATAATGTATGATCTCCTCAAAGATGAGTAATGCATATACTTCTGGTTTTTGATTAACATTTGCAATCATTGACATGTTAACAGAGCATAGGAGAGCTTTTGTTTTTACATACCCTCTCACTTTCTCACAAACAGATTATTCAAAATCTGTTACCACAGTAATAAAAAAAGAAAATAATAAAAGAGAAAGTAGTGAGAAAAAGAGATATGTAAAAAAGGGATAAAGAGTGAGTTATATGGAAATAATTAGCTACAGCCAAAGGAAAAAAGAATAGTTTCCCTCAGAAAAAAATTCTCCATTTGCCTTATAATCAGGTGTCAAATAGGTAAAATTCCAAATTTACTAAACACCAATTTTACCACAACATACTCGCAAATGTATTTATTAATAAAAATAGTAGAAAAATTAAGAAACACTTTTAACTTTAGTTTATCATAATACAGTGAAGCTAACTACAGTATTTTTGCACAAAAATATTTCAAAAGTAAAGAGAAATAAAATTGTTTTTAGTACTTCTAATGCATAACAATGTACTTACTCTAATAGATGCTTTATTGCAAAAGACTTTATTAATGGCAAGCCAGGTAGGAAGATCCAGCATATTCTGAAGCACTTCTTCATCAAGCTCCAAATTGGTTAGTTGACCTTCTCCTTTTAAGGTGCTCAGGTTGATTTTGTCAGGTGAAAGGTTTTTTGTAAACCTAAAACAGAAAACACATTAACTGAGGTGTTACTAGATTAATCAGTCATTAATGTTAAAATATAAAAATAAATTATTTATCTTTACCAATTTTAATTTGAAGTTTACATTCTGAAAAGGAACCCTCAATGAGTAATTATTAAAACATTAATATTTTACTATTATTACACATGTACATAATTCTATTATTATTTTTATTTTGCTGTGTCTTTTGGGCTAAGAACTTTTTGTGTTTTCTATCTTTACAAGAACCCTTATTACAATAAATATGTGTGACGGGTCCACTTCAGAATCCCAAAGCTTCACAGCTGACAGAGGATTTGAATGTGGATGTATAATATTTATTTATTTATTTGTCATATCAAGAGCGAACCAAGGGTACTGTTGTAATATATTTTAAAACGACAAAGTTTAACAATATCTTGCCACCATCTTCCTCCCTGGACTCAGGGCGGCTTACATGGGGACAAGCCCGATAAAAAAAAGATTAAAACATAAAAGCATCCCATAATAAAGTTTATAAAAGCAACATCATAAACAACATAAAATAACATCAGCAACAGCCAACAGCCTGACATGGTAGTCAAATACTAATTTGGGTGGGCAGGGGCTTTCAATAAAGTTGTAAGGACAGGGCAATTGGAAAAACTGCAGGAGTCAAATGATAAACAAGGGCTACAGGACCTAGGTCTTCTCCAAATCTCTGGTCCCTGCCACTGATGGCAACTGTGTGCTTGTTAACAGATTACTACAGTAGAAGCAAGTACTTAATGGGAAATATTTTGTTGTGCTTAGGTTTCCATTCAACTGCTGGAAAACTAGATGGTAACTTGCCAAAACACCTTGCTTTTCTAACAAATGACACAACATGAAATAAAGGAGGTAAACCACAATATTTGGAGTCAATATTTGGAGTCAAATATTGTACGGAGCAGCTAATACAAAGTATTTGTCTCACAAGCCACTCCTAAACCAAAACTAAAATTCTGCTAACAATACTCTGTGAATGTAAGTATTCCAATGATGACACTTCACACATATGCAATATCCTACTTGTGTGTAGTTTAGGAAATTAAATTTCCTGCCTTAAAAAAACAACAACACCTGCTTGTTCTACGGTCAAAAGGAAATAATCCAGTTTCCTTTTAGACTGTTTCGGCTTTCTGGAAAAAGAAAAACAAAAAATCTGCAATCATTCATTACAGCAGTACAGTCTCCAGTAATCCTTCTACTGTTTTGTTGCTACTGTCAACCTTAAGAGCTAACATTACTAAGTTGGTTGCTTTTTCTGGAAGGAGAAAATAAAATGGCTATATTACCTTCACCATCAAAGGAAATATGCTCTCAATATCAGTTACTTGGGACCATGATCTAATCCTACTGGTGTCATGTCATCCAGTGAGCTTAACATAGGGAGATTTTTTAGCCATTGTGGAAACAGAATCAGACTATTTTATTTATTTATTTCATGCATCACTTGTATGAAGAGTTTATTCTACTCGTAACCAATACTGCTGAATTCAGTGCTTCTGAAGAATAAAACAGGACTATGAGATTTTAATTAAAAATAGTCTGATTTTCATTACTATTTACTATCAGATATTCATACTACAGAGTGGGGAAGCATAGTCAAGGAACAGGAGTATCTTCTATCCAGAAATCCAAAATATCCTAGAACCCAAAACTGTTCTCAAAGATGGCAGAGATAGAGATACCTTTGCATTTTGAAGGCTCAGTGTACATAAACTTTGTTTCATGCACAAAATTATTTAAAATGTGTACACTATATAATTCCCTTCAAAATTCAAAACCCTTCTGGTCTTGAGTATTTCAGATAAGAGATACCCATCCTGTAACTATGTTTACTATTTCTTGCAAGAAGAAATATGACTCTCAATTTTTAATGAGAACATATCTCTATTTTCCATTAAATTACTTGCATGTACTTTTTTAGATTCTCTAACAACTAAGTTTTAAATAGGTGTCTAAGTACAGAAATTTCTAGTGTTCCTACCAGTGGTATAAACACAATTTCATGAGCCTTCTCTAGAACTAAAGATACTGCTTCATAATGAGTAGTCATGTGATGAGAGGCTTGAAATCCATGCGGACATGATCACTTCATATTTTCTTTTAGACAGGTTAACTAGTTTCCTCCCCATTTCCATTTACTTCTTTGCATTCTTCTAATATGTTCTTCTTGTGTACATTTTGCAAGTCTTCTTTATCAGGACTACTTCACTTTTTTGGCTAATTTTCCAACCATATTTCTATCCCATTATAGAGCAGAGATACTGTGGGGATACTTTGGGCTCAATGATCTTGAGTGTGATAAACATTCCAAAAACTATGTATTATCCTTTGAAGGAAATGGATGTATTTGTGTTCCACCTTTTAAAAAGAACACTTGTCTGTATTTTTAAATACTTGTGTTTTGCTGCTAATTAACATAAATTTTTATTGGCAGGATTTTTAATTAAAACGTATATTTCAAACCTTCTACTAAGTGAGCTGTCTTCTAAGAACTATATACAAATGGATGTCTTACTATTAAATGAAATAAAATAATGTCTTGAATTGGCTGTCCTCTGCAGATTCATTGCTACATCTTTAATCGTGTTAACATACTTAGCTATTATCTATCATTGTCCTATCTGGTTCTTTGTTCCAGAAAATCATTCCTTATTTTCTTGTGTACTTCCCTGTGGTATGAGCATGTGTTTTCCCTCTATTGTTTCTCTTCTTCCCATTTCTTTCAGATGAGCATTCTTCTCTTATTTGTATTTTTATTAAAAGAACACAATGATATCCTAAAGGAACCAGATCCAGTATGATCTTTGATGCTAGGTTGGGTCAGGCATGGCTAATACTTAGCTAGGAGAACGAGACTAACAATGAATATTAAGTGCTGTAGGCTACTTTCAATGGTAGAAACTGGAAAAGCCACCTCTGAGTATGTCGCCATAAGTCGAAGGATGACTCGAAGAAACATATACAGTGTGATAAAGACCTTTGTAGATCAACACGAAATCTAACATGCTCAGACACTGGGAATGGAAGATTCTATTCCATAAAAGGCAAAAAAATCAATTCAAAGTTCAACTGTAATAGACATTTCTTCGCACTTAATAGTTTGATATAGATAGGAATTATGGCACCCTGCAAAATGTTAAAGACTGCAATTCTCAGTGTTTCCACCTATGGCAGGCAGGTCTGCTTGTAACTACATTCCAAAACCAAGCTGTATAATTCTCTCTTACAGTTTAGAATGTACATTGCTACCACTCATAATCACTTCATACCCACACAACTTCTTAGAAGACTCAAAATTAAAATATTTTATTCCTCCAGGATAATTAAAAAATGTAATGTTAAAAGAAGACATCTCCTGTAGGATAGTTTCCTTTAGGACATCTTAAATTTTTATATGCGATTAGCATCTTTGGCCACCTACATGCTTTTATGCATTATCTTAGCCTACCAACTATTTCCCAATTGCTTTATATAGTATAGCCCCTGTATCTGCAGGACTGGTAACAGCGGTTTCACCTACCCATGCCTGACAAAAGATGTCCTCTCCAGGCATTTTCTAAGTCCTCCAGCATGACTCTATAGCAGGGGTCCTCAAGCTTTTTAAACAGAGGGCCAGGTCACAGTCCCTCAAACTTTTGGAGGGCCGGATTATAATTTGAAAAAAAAAAAGAATTCCTATGCACACTGCACATATCTTATTTGTGGTGCAAAACTACTTAAAAACAATACAATAATTAAAATGAAGTACAATGTTAACAAATATAAACTTATTAGTATTTCAATAGGAAGTGTGGGCCTGCTTTTGGCTGATAAGTAGGATTGTTGTTGTTGCTGTTGTGTGCTTTCAAGTCATTTCAGACTTAGGTTGACCCTGAGCGAGGGCCGGGTAAAAGACCTTGGAGGACCGCATTCGGCCCCCGGGCCTTAATTTGAGGACCCCTGCTCTATAGCATTCTTAGCCAGAAGTCCTTCATTTCAAGAGAGTTTGCTATTATCCACAGTTCTGTATATCCACGTGAAGTCCAGGGACATATTCCCCAGAAATAAAGGGATCATGCTGTATTAGTTGAAAGCAGGGTGGTAGAGATTTCCTATTCTCTACTACAAATACAATCAGATCTTGAATTATTTTTCCTATTTTTTCCAGTTTCCCACATCATTATTTATTCATATATAATTTTTATTACCTACAACTCCACTCTTACTAATCACCTTAAGAGGTAAGTATTCTGTGTGAAGGCAAACGTAAAGAAGCCCACTGCTAGAAGCAATAGCCCAAGAGAAGTCTGGTCTACATTTTGCAATGTTTGTATTAGCATTTTAAAACTTAAACAAAGCTTTGAACAGGGATCTGCAAATGCTGGTTTAGTTCACTAGTCAGCATTATATGGTCTCTCCCTTGCCTTGCATGAACACACAACATGAGAGAAAAGCTGAAGCCTATCTCATTTGTGTAAGTATAGAGAAAGGAAGAGAAACACCAGGAGTTCTTCCGCCTCTTCCTCACATGGAACCCTTACAGCTTATTAGCTCAGAAATGAGCTCTCTGAGGTAAAGAGCTGCATAGTGCCAGGTATGCTGATTGTCATAGAATACTCCCATTTGATGAGTAGGTTTGTGGATGTCTTGGAAGGTAGCACAAAAATAAGATAAATAAAATGTAAATAAGTATATGGAGGATTTCTGCTTTCATGCATAAGCATTATCTTATTAAAGCAAGCTCAATAGTTTCTTCCAGCATCTTTGTGGCAAAGCTTATTGCGTCTTTATTTCCCACATTCTGATGGTCTTCTGACCATTTTGCCTATTAAGCTGAAGTTACAAATATTTTTCCTTATATGCTAGATCAAATACACTCTGTATACTCTTCCTTCATATAACATTGTGAAAAAAATAATAAAGCAGTGTTAAAATTATTGGAAATTATATTTAAGCACCCATGGAAAAAAGACTACATATACAGTTGTT